GCCACTCCTTGCAATCGAAGTGCGAAGTGCGGAAGTGGAAACATGTAATATGAGACTTTTCCATCCCCCTCTTGGGCTATCAATTTTCTATGGGTCACGTGACCAGCTCCGACCAGGGTCTTTGCTTCCCAAGAGCAAAGAGCCTGGGAACGAGGTTGACTCCCTATCAGGGCTTTTCAGTGACTGGCTACATTGTGAATAGATAGATAGATAGAACCGGACTGACGTGAAGCAGACCGAGGTAGACTTTGAGCTTACACATGGCGCTTGAGCAGCCGCTATTAGTCGATACCTCACAGGGCCGTGCCACCCCAACAAGAAACCGGTTGGCATGGCCCTGATACCTCGTTAATGATCTGCCTCTTGACCTATGTGCTTAACTCACCCTGTCAACTTTCCCTGTGGGAGGAAACCGAAGTACCCGGAGAAAACCCACGACGGCACGACTTTCGGCAGAGCGTTGATTTTACTCTTTTCACATGAGGACTGTGTTGGAGACGCAGTGAGAAAGTTCTCACTGAGATTTGAACCTCAGAGGTGAAAGGCAAGTGCGCTAACTACTTGGCCACCGAAGCCCCAATGTCATCAGTATCGAGATGAATTCATTGTTCTTCTTCACCATAATATTTTTAATGAGTGTATTCTGAACAAGTTACACTTGAGTTGACTCAAGCATTTACGGCAGATACTGTATCAATGAAGCAGTCTGAGCCAAGATATTTGGGTCTTGATTTTTTCTATGTTGGTATAATGTACTCAGGTGAATATGATGCTTGTGATGTTACTCTGAGTGTATATCTGTTGACTCAATTTGAATTGGAGTCGAGTACTTGAAAATAGCGATTCGAGTTGACTGATGACTCGACGTTACAACAATGCACGTATGACGCAAATGATATAAGGCGTAAGTGCGCTGTGATTCTTCATTCAAATTAAACAAAGCGTTCTTTGTGACAGAGTGTTTACATACTAATCAAATTAAAATGTGAAACGAGAATAGCTCATGTTTAGTAGGTGTAACTAACATTTATGGCAGATATCATTGAGGCAGTCTGAGCCGAGATATTTGAGTCTGTTGACTCAATTTGAATTGGAGTCGAGTACATGAAAATAGAGATTCGAGTTGACTAATGACTCGAAGTTACAACATTGCACGTATGACGCAAATGATGTGATTCTTCATTTAAATTGAACAAAGCGTTCTTTGTGACAGTGTTTACATACTAAGCAAATTAAAGTGTGAAACAAGTAGCTCATGTTTGGTAGGTGTAACTAACTTTTTATCACACTTACATGGGTAATGTATCGGACGAAATTGCGAAAAGTATTAGAAAACATTTGTTTTCCATTTCTAGGACATGCCTCGTCCGAAATGTTTATCTTTTTTTATTATACAGGGTGTATCAAAAAAACTGAACAGATTTAAAATTGCTCTCAACTTCGCAAAACAGCTATTTGTATCTGTTTTTTATATATATAGCTTCTTTAGGTACTTATAATGTAAAATAATGGAAAAAATTTCTCGAACTCAAATTTTGTGAACCAGGGGGGTGTGTCTTTTCCAACAAACTAAAAATGGCTCGCGCACAAAATTTAAAAGCTGCAATCATATTTTGAGTTAACAGATGGAAAATTTGTCGGGATTTTAATTACTGTACAAAATTTCAGACAATTTGGTTTAGTTTAAGCCCCTTAACTATTCACGCAAAGTTACAATTTTCCCGAAAAATTAGCTATTTGCATGCTTAATTATGCTAATTTGCATATGTCAGCAATATGCAAATTAGGTAAAGGCATTAATTAAACATGCGAAAGGCTGACTTTTTAGAACAAAATGAATAGTTAAAGGGCTTAAACTAAACCAAATTGTCTGAAATTTTGTACAGTAATTAAAAACCCGACAAATTTTCAATCTATTAACTCAAAATATGATTATAGCTTTTAAATTTTGTGCGCGAGCCATTTTTAGTTTGTTGGAAAAGACACCCCCCCCTGGTTCACAAAATTTGAGTTCGAGAAATTTTTTTCATTATTTTACATTATAAGTACCCAAAGAAGCTATGTATATAAAAAGCCAGATACAAATAGGTGTTTTGCGAAATTGAGAGCAACTTCAAATCCGTTCAGTTTTTTTTTATACACCCTGTATAAAGTATAGTGCTTTATGCTTTATAGAGATTTCGAGCACTGACAAAACTGATAATCTCAAATGTGAGATTATTTATAATAATTTCACATGTGAAAATTATCGCTTTTCAATTATCGCTTTCCTCTAAAAATTATCGCGGCTTTTCAGAGACTGTCCTTTATATAATAAACAGAAAAATACATGGGTGCTTGGAAATACCAGATTTATTTCTCGTGCTTCGAAATTAATCTGGTATTTCCGCGCACCCATGCATGCAATATTCTCTATAGACTATATATATACCACGTACGAAAGCGAAATGAAGTTTGGGTGATGATAATTCGGATGATATTGAGGGCATGGCGTAAATGTTACAACCGTTCTGCAATTCTCCATAAATTGCATAATGCATGATGAATGCTAAATAAATTATCAATGCTAAATTAAATTCGGGAGTTGTGATTTGTATTCTTGATAATATAACAAATATTTTGAAACGATAATTCACTTAAAACATTTATACATGCAATTTTTTTTGAAGTAGCTACTGTATATTTACGTAAATACAAACACATGCACCGCGTTTGTTAATTCTTGCAAGACTAATTATTTTTGTGGCGTTGGTTGCTCTGCAATTGATAAGTTGTAAAATAATAGTTAGAAAAAATGCTACATTTTTAAGTCTTCTTTCAATTCATGGAAAATGTTAATACCTACAGTATGGCCCATGCACGTCCATATTTCTATACTTGCCCGCCAAAATTCGTCTAGCATGTTCCTATTGTATAAAACTCTCTAGAGAGCAAATTCAGACTCAACTGTTACGAACTAAACTATAACTTTAATAAGGTAATGAGGGAGTAAGTCGGCGTCAAAATGTATATGCGTGATGATTCGCATGATATTGTGGACATGACGTAAATGCTACGTAGACAGTTAGTTATATACAATTTGTAGTAGTGCAAACATGACACTGGGTTGTAATAAAAACTGTACATCCTTGCTCCCGAGATGCATGCTGTCTTTAAATGACTAAAATAATTAAAGTGAATTTGATTGGTTGCTAATTACACATATTTCAACTAGTTAGGCTGTGACCAGTTACAACGCTGCATGCGTACAGCATGTTGAAGTTCTTTCAACATCAATTGGTTAACATATCCGAACAGCAATTTATTTCGAGTAATAGATGTATTGCGTGATACTCTAATACTTGTTGAAAGCAGCTAAAAACCAGGGAACACCAGCCAAATACAAATTAAGATTACTATACGACACCCTGTACAATCAAAATTTTGACACTTAAAATAACCATGCTTTGAGAGACTTCAAAAAGATGACATTTTACCAACTTTTATAGACCTTACCCTTTATTCACTATATATTGATCCAATTATAAGGTCTCGATTTCGTGTTTGCCAGTTTTGGCACAACAGGCGTACATGAAGGTTATATATTCCCATGTTTCCTTCGCAATTTCGTTCCTACTTCATCTTAATGAACAATAAAGCCCAATAACAAAGTAATTTCTTATAACACTATTGTACATGGAACACAAGTTATATAGGCCCTAATACGTGCCAGGAAAACGAGATCATTTGGTATAATGTCAATAAACAGTAAGGTCTACACTGACAACTGCATGATACACTGCAGAGCAATGAACGCCATAGCACTTGCAAGACGTAACAAACGGTGTGTTGGTATGCGCATAAAAATACTTCACAAAATATTATTAAAATGTTTTTAAGTTAATTATCGTTTCAAATAAATGGCTTTTAAAACTAATATTCGAAATATTTGTTGATATGATTGATCACTTAAAATCTTAAATCGCAACTCCGAGTTCAATTTTGCGTTGATCATTAAAAACGCCTTACATGGAAAATTGCAGAAAGATACGCCCACACTGTCTATAACATTTACGTCATGTCCCCAATAGTCTGCGAATCATCACGCAAACTTTATTTTGTTAAAGTGTCAAAAGTCAAAAACTTCCTCAACTCGATCGCTCACTCTAAAACACTCTGCGTGGTTACAATTTTACTGGTTAACGTAGAAATACTAACTCTATTCGGGATAACTTAATATTCCTGGTTAAGGGATTTTTTTTTCACTTCGCAGCTGCCATAGTTTGATGAATGTAACCAGGAATCTGGTTGTATTTGGCCACGACGTCCTGGTTAAATTCACCAGATTATGTTATGTAGATAAATAACCAGACAATTGTCGAAACCAACAGTAACAGACGAGCACCAGCCAAATAATGAAGTCTGCTATATAATTTCAACATTTTGATAGTCGCTTTTAAAATTCTCTATTCACAGTTATGTCCGAATTTTCCTTCTCTATATAGAGGTTTATATAGTGAAGCCATCCCTTATGCTAGACGGATCTTGACGTGAAAATGAAACATATGACACGTTGGCGATTCATCTTAATTATTTTAAAATGTAGCATTGTTTCTAACTATGATTTGATAGCTATCATGGCTTATAGATTGTTTAAAACACGGTTTGTTCGATATACGAAAACTTAGCCTACTATACAAAAATCGTTAAGAATTATATTCGAAATATTTATCGATATTATTTAGCGTTGATCATTAAGCAACTTAGTTTTAGGGGACTATGGAATGGTATGTGTTCGTTTACGTCATGTCCTGGACATCGTGCGAATTATCATGCAAACTTCGCAAAGAAATAAGATGACTTATGAGCACAATTGCAAAGATCGCTTTCTTCCAATAAAGAATAACTAGCACAATTACAGCACAGCACAGCACACAGCACAATTATGCTATTATCATTTGCGTCATACATGTATGTTTAACTTCCGGCAAAAATCTATTAACATATTGTTTTCGTCTTGAGAGAAAACTATTTAAAGAGCAGTTTGCTTTGAAAAACAGCTATACCGTAATACTTGTGGAAATCAGCAGCAACAGGTAAACACCAACCAAATAATGAAGTTTGCTATAATTTCGACATTTTTGACGGTCGCTTTCTTCTTCACAGGATCAAACGGTAAGACATTTAGTTAATTCGCGTCTTTGATAAATGTTTGAGTGTTGTCTCAGGGGAAATGTCTTAAAAGTACAGTATATGAGAATTTCCGCTGTGGCTCTTTCCATTGACTATTATTTTAGTATTAGTATCAGGTCATGCAGTTCCATAAGTCTTTTTATCGCCAGTCGTTAGTATATGTGTCATGCCTCTCGCACTTTTCTGGTAACACAATTTTTATTCTGCACTTCCTTTCAAAGCTGTGCCCTGAAATTGCGTTGCCAAAATATGCCCGGGGCACTAAATCTATTCCTCAATAAACTCTCTTAAAAAGAAACCATGGTGCCAACAATGTTCGCGGTGGGCATAAATTTACTTCCCATCCCAAAGTCAGACAACATAAAAGATAAACGAATTGACTCAGTTGATCAATTACGATGAGTACAGATGTACAGCCAGACATGGGGTGCGAGATTCTTTTGCGAAATTTATCCAAATTTCGTGAAACATAATTTTTGTGAATTTTTCATATATATATAGCCTAACACACACATACATGCCCACTATCCAATCCAAATAGTGACAGCATCACAATAACTTTTATTTTATTTATTTATTTATTTATTTATTTATATTCAAACATTTTCACGACTTATGGAATGGTAGCTGTTTCGGTGAGTATAAAACTTATACTGGATAGAAGCCATTCTGCAATCTAATTGGCTCTATAACAGGATATTATTTAATAGAAAATTACTGAGGCCAACGGCATTATTCGATATATTGCAGCCAGCTGAGGCCGAAGGCCGAAGCTGGCTGCAATATATCGAATAATGCCGTTTGGCCGAAGTAATTATCTATTATAATTACTGACTCGAATCAAAAGTAATTATTTTCGGCTGGAAGACTACGTTGCTGCTTGTTGGGACCGTATGACAATGAATCTATCCGACGTTACACTAGACATTTGTGAGGACATGCATGTAATGCATCGTGATAGAACAGATTTCAGTTTAATTAATGGCCCTAAATTAAAATCTCCACAAGCGGAGGTCAATTATAGTGTTCTAGTTTACATATTATCATTAATGATAAGGTTAATTCAAAGAGCGTAGTAAACTGGATAAACACGGGAATAGAACTTATGGTGTGTTCTGCACATGCGTATATCTAGGATAAAATCCCACAAGCGCAAACGAAACTATTTCTCTATAAAGTTGAGCTGAAAGGACTCACAGTGACCGTTTTGGCAGTGCTTCAGGCGCCCGATGATATTGTATGAGGGGCCTTTAGCACTGTCAACTTCTCATCTTGAGATGTTCGCGTTATCGCGTGTACTTGTCAGGATGACGAAGGATTGCGAATAATGTCTGTGTGCACTTGTGTACACGCTGCATTATTTTTAATAATGCTGTGTGCACGCTGCATTATTTTTAATAATGCTGTGTGCTATTTTAGCCCGTATAAACATTTACCCCTGGGAATTTCCCTACAATCAAAAAAGACCGCTCCCGTTTTTCAGAAGAACGCTAAAACTTCTCTACATTCGCTGATATAATGCAGAGAGAAAACAATAGGTTATTATGACCGTCAGTAATTATATAACTATAACAGGATATTATATAACTAACAGAATATTATATTGGAGTTATTGAAATCCAATAAGTGTTTGATTATATAGAACAAAACAATTCTATAACAAAATTTTAAAGTTGTCTATAAGCGAGAATGAATAATGCAGTGAGAACTAGAGGGCACTCAGAGACTGCATACGCCGCCTACGCGCAAAATATTGAAGTAATCTATTGTTATTAGAATTTGAATGGCTGGGGCCGGTTGTATAAAAAGGTGATTAAAGTTAACTATAGTTAGTGGAAACGTCATCCAATAAGAAGCGCGTATTTGAGAGTTAATCACTATTTAACTACAAAATAGTGATTAAAAAGTGATTAAGAGTTTTATACAACCGGCCCCTGGTGCATATATTATGCACGTCCTAATTACGCATTCAGCATAAAGTTTTATTTAATTGACCGGGAAAAGCAAGACAAACTTTTGTTATTTCTCATTGAATTTTTAACCAAATTCAACCAAATTTTAATCAGTTCTTCCTTGGTCGATGGGAAATGCACTCACAAAGTTTCGTACGGATATGTTTGGTATTTCTTGAGTTATCGTGCTCACAGACAAACACACACACACACACACACACACACACACATGCACATACACACACACATACAAACCCAGATGATTACATAACCTCCTGGCGGAGGTAAAAACCCAGATGATTACATAACCTCCTGGCGGAGGTAATAATACAGCGATAACATATCACACATCGGCGGCGAATTTGCTTAAATAACTAAACAAAACAGTTAATAAACTTTGTTTTAAAAAACAAAGTTGGCATAAAAAAATTCAATTTCATGTATGGAGTCTTTCAATTCCAAGTAATTTGATGTAATTTTACGAAAAAATGGTATATTACTAACCTCAGGACTATTGCATGTAGACAAACAAATTTTGTGCGCTTTTATAATTTTAAACAAACCTGGTAGGAAAAAACAGTCATATATGTTCGCCACTTTGCCATATCGTTTGTCTTGTGTTTAAAATTGACAAAACATCTGAATAAGTTTGATTAGCCAGGAAAAAAAACACAATGGGCTACTGTCCAATATGAACTGTCCTATACGCAAAATATCAAGCACGCACGTAATGCTATTGAAGACCCGTGATTGGTCAATGGCATCTGAGCGTACATAATAAATATATGTTATTTACCGGCTGGGAGTCCGTACTGAAGAATATTCGTTTCCCGAGGTCTCAGAATTAAGCGGCCCGATACTGGTAGCGACGAACGCTTCTGAGACCGAGGGAAATAATTTTCAAGCAACCGTATAAATAACTCTTTTTTGCGCGATGCTAAATTAAATTCCCAAAAAACTCCAGTGTGGCGAAGTAGATTTGAAATCAGTTGTGTTTGTGTATCTAGTCAAGCATGGCTGGCATATTGCTAAAATAACGCAATAAAAAGCCTTTATTTTTTATGCAATATATGCTTTTCTACTCAACAAGACAATAAAAAGATTAATATTTGTTTTTCTGATCCTTTTAGCTAATAACATGAATCTAGAAATCATTTTAAACTGGGGTTAACCTACGCATGCACCAAATTTCTTGAAACTTTGACAGCTTGTGCAAGACAGTCCTTATTTTGATTCTGTGCGATTGCATTTTGTTTCCGATAAAAAATTTTTGTCCGCAACGCTAGCATTTTAAATAATTTTAGTGCTAGATGTACTTTTTTGACAAAATGTTTTCGGCAAGTACAATTTGTTGCTGCGTGTTCAAACTCGAAAGAACATCTTTAAAACACGTTATTAGGCTAAAACGATCAGGAAAACAAATCGTTTTAATCAGTTTACCTTCAGTTTATTTTCTTGTTGAGTATAGAAATTAAAGCATCTATTGCATCAAAAATAATTTATATGGCGGTCACGCTAGTTGGACTAAAGCAACAAACAGATCTCAAATCTCGTTCGCAATGCTGGAGTTTTTTTAGGAATTTAATTAAGCATTGAGCAAAAAAATAAATGCATTAGTTACTGTGAAGGGGTCGGCCCGTACTCCTTGGTAATTCTGGATATCACAAAAATCTTACCCAATAACTGTTTTAGTTTTAATTTTTTGTACGTTTTCGCAGATTTGTAAAACTCATCTCCATTTACTTGTCTATTTTCAGACAATCTCAGTATCTGTCGAACTCGTCTTCGCCAACTACACCAATGCGAATTTCATACCTGCAATGACCCTCAGTGTGTCCGAGGGGACAAAAGCTTTTGAAATACTCGAGATGGCTTCCCAACAAAACCCGTGCTACAGATTCCAATTTCAAACATTCAGTATTGGTCGCTTCATTACAAGAATATGCTGTCTCGAACAAGATCCATCAGCTGACTTTTATTGGCTCCTTTACAAGAATGGTCAACTTTCCCATCTTGGAGTTGATGTGTTAACACCGGCGAATGGAGATACCATTACCTTCAAATACCAAAACGTTTAAACATAATTATATTATACGACAAACGCTCTCAGTCTTGTGCAAACTTACTGTCTAACTTTCGTACTTTCTTTAATTAATTAATTTTAAACTAACTACTCTGTTATAGTCAAACCGGACCTGTGAGAGGTTACTGTTATTTATTTAATTATTTAATAAGACAACTATTAAATGATGTAAACTTTTCTGTGCGTATATAGGGTAATTGAAAATCGTGCGACATCTGTACAGTACATAACGTCGGCTTTAAGGCAATTTTCCATTGCAGTCGCTTTGCCCGCACGGGTGGAGCAAACATTAGAGAGGTTAAGATACCCCTGTTCCAATTTACGGTTACGGGGGAAATCGGAGAACGACTTATAACTTAAGAAATCCAAGATACTCCGGCATCAGAAAACCTATCAGAGAATGGTAACTTTCGCTGTTGAGGTTCGCCATAGATTGTTGAAAACTTTGACGAACATATATATGCTCATTATTTTTTTGGATAAGATGTTGAAGCTTTTTGCTATTGAAACGGCCCATAAATACTAAACAGAAAACACCCATACACGTTTGTCTTTTACGTGTATACACCATGGTCAGCCTCGTACCCAGGCGCTATAAATGGGCACACTACAGTGTTTTTATATGGATCAGTGGCTCGAGCGCGCGGCGGTGCTTGGGGAGGTTGCAGGAAACGAAGCGCCTGGCAGAATTTGTAACAAACATGGCGGACATGAGGATGCAAATGAGGAAATTGCTGTACTATACTCAATGAAATTGAAAGGCCTGCCCATCGAGCGTGACATTTGGGAAAGATTTTATGTCCAAATGATCACTGCGTTGATAATAATTATTTTTCCTCGAAAACGGTATTATATATTTATCATTTTAGCTGGCGAGTTTCCTCAGGACCTCTCGAAATTTAATAGAAAGTCTCCTGGTCATGGTTTATTTCAAATGGTTGAAAATATTAAATATATGTCTGGTATTTGATGCACATCATGAAATGTACTGCCTTTTTGCAGTTTGAAAGAAAAGTATTCTGACAACAAAGTCAAAGTCAAAGAAACTGGCCAAGTTTATAACTTTATATTCTTGAATTTTAATAATACATTGAATTTTATAAATATGGAATGTTGAAACTACTATTTATTTGTACTGATGATATTTTACCTCAGATGAGAAAATTAACTGGAAAATATTTAATGATTGTAGGTTTCTAAAATTTTGCCAATAGAAGGAATATAAATTAACATGCATAAGTGCTTTTTAGTATGCAAAATATGGTGAAGATAAAAACATAAATTTTAGAGCTCTATTGTTTTAACTGGCTGACAATAATTATATAAACCACAAACCAGACCAAACTAATCCGCTCATCTCATGCATGGTTCACCTGTTGATGTTTGTGATTCACCTTACTTTTGAGTTTTGAACTATGAAGGCTATTGTCCTTGATTGCCAAAATCTACTATGTTTACACTAAGGAATGAGGTATACTCTGGACTTGCCTCTGGCTGCATACAATGCATTTGATACCAGTTACAGACATAGTCTAACAAATTGGACAATTTAAAGGCATGGTTGCACATTGCAATTTGTTGGGCTGATTACAGTACAGATGGTATTGATATTTAAAAATCAATGACATTTGAAAAATATGTGGCAAACATTTGATGGTCTCACTGAAAATATTTGTCAACAGTTAGCAAAATCTAAAATCAGCCCGGCAAAGTATGGTGTATAAACACACAAAAATACTCTCATACATGTACCATACATATACACACATGATTTACCATGTTGCCATGGAAATTGGTCTTGGGATTAAACAATCCAAACATGTTTATACACACAAATGCTTTACCTGAAATCATTCTCAGGTTACTCAAGGTAAGTCCCAGTAAACAGCTTGGACAGGTGTAGGTTTGTAGTGTAAACACAAGACCTATCCCAGTTGTCTCTGTGCTTGCTCTTAAATCCTCATGAATGTTTTACACAACTTGACTAAATGAGGTATACCTCATCAACATACTATGCAAACAACCCCTGGAACATTTAACTTAAAATGTTGAGAATTTTATTTATTTTGCTCATAATATAAACTACTAGTATTTACATTCAAAAAGATCTAGAGCTATGGCTGTATGGCAATATTTATGCAATTTAATACTCTTGTGGGCCTTTATTTATACACTCATGCACATCTTAACGTCTAAACAAGCTAGGCACATTAAACTTTGCAAATTAACAACTTTGCCCATTAAGTTTCACTTCCCCCTACTAGGGCTATGGTGGTGTGCTGATTGCACCACCGAGTTTCGTGGTGCAATTGTCAGTTCTAGACCACTTGATAAACTGCTAGATTTTTCAATCTCGCCATAGTTCTCCATCTCATAATCTGCTTCAGTGGCAATGGGGACATCACTATCTAACAACATAATAAATTAACAATATTTATTATTCATGTTTCGCTCGCTACTCTGGTTTAAATAAATGATTACAAAGCCCAGTCGAATTGTAATCAAGACCCAATGTTTCGACACTCCAGTCTAGTGTCTTCATCAGGGGTGATCTAAAACTGCGATCGTGGCTTCTTAAATACCCAAGGGATGACGTCACCTGCCAAGAAGATGCATATATTCTTCTGGCAAATAGGCGCCGTCATCCCTATTCAAGGCATGATGACTCATATTTATATGCCACGCTTCTAGGCAAAGTCTTTGACCATAGCGATTGTTTGTGGTAATTACTTTAGAGTTTTTCCACGCAATCTCGTGTTTGGTGTAACATACATGTTCGGCTAAAGCTGATTTTCCCTTGTCTAAAGTTGAAACAGCCTTTTGATGTTCTTTTAGCCGTGTACCAAACTGGCGTTTAGACTGACCCAAATACTCTTTATCGCAGTCACCGCATGGTATAGAATATATAGCATGAGTCTTCTGATTTTTTCAACAGGATCTTTTGGCTTTGCGAAAATATGGCCTAAGGTCAAATAGGGTTTAAAGGCAACCTTAATATTACAATTACTTAAGATTCTCTTGATTGGTTCTGTGACACCTTGAATGTATGGAACTATTGCAAAACCCTTAACAGAGGTATCACCCTCGGAGTTATTTTGGTTCCTACAAACAGGTGGTCTCAGGCAATCATTAAGAAAGCGCTTTGGGTAATTGTTTTCCCCTAAAACATTTAGAACATATTCACGTTCATTAGCTTGAGAATCACTGTTTGACGGCAACGATTCAGCTCTTTGAAGCAAAGTTTTTGCTACGGATCTTTTATGGCTTACTGGGTGATGAGAGTCGTATGACAAGTATTTGTCTGTGTGTGTGGGTTTGCGATAAACATCAGTCTCTAACTTCCCTTCGACAGTTCTGTGTGCATTCAAATCTAAAAAAGCTAAATGTCCATTTATTTCACGTTCTACCGTGAATTGGATGGACGGCTCAATAGAATTTAAATGTTGCAGCAGAATATCGATCTCATTTGTAGAAACCGCAGAGATGACATCATCGACGAAACGTTTCCAAAACGGTAGGGACACCGGAACAGAGGCTAAAGCTCTTTGTTCGACATCTTCCATTACTAAATTAGCAATTACTGCCGAAACTGGTGACCCCATCGCTGTTCCAAAAACCTGTTGATAATAACAGCCTTCAAACACAAAGTATGTGGCGTTGAGACAAAAAGACAGAAGATCAATAATATCTTCTACAGGCAAGGATGTTCTTTGTAACAAAGTTGCATCCTGTCTTAGTCTTTTTGCCGCAACCTTGATGGCAAGATCAACTGGGATATTTGTAAACAAGGAAACGACATCAAATGATACCAACACTTGATCTGCTTTAAGAGTTTTACCTCTTACAAATTCTGCAAAATGACAGGAATTTTTGACAGTGTTTTCGGTATTTCCCACCACAGG